AAGAGATGCTAGCTCTTTAGAACAGTGCCCATTATAGTATTTATAGAAAAGAGAAAGAAAAGGAACATTACAACGATGTGACAAAGGTTAGAGGTTGGCGGCAAGTGCAGGTCCAACTATGTTTACAATACATTTTTGCACTGTCTAAAAATGAAAGGGTTTTATTTGAAGTCCTGCCCTAGATATGGCAACAGTATTCTATATAAGAACGGATATGAGATTTATTGAAATAAAGAATAGAATCATGAGTAAGAAAGTGACAAGCATGATGAAGAGATGCAACCTCAACAGATGTTAATTTTGCAATGGATTTGATATATGGTTTCCAAGAAAGAACGAAGTAAGAGTTTATCCTAGAAGAAAATGGGTAGATGACTCATTGAGTACATTACTGCTTATAAATATAGGAAGATCTAGATTACTGCAATAATGATTAGCTGAAAATAATTGAGTTTTATATGAGTTAAAGTTCACCAGCCACTGAGAGCCCCATGCTGTAGCAGAAGTGAGATGATTTTCAAGCTCAAATGTCCTCTCTAAGCAATAAGAGGCTACTTATCAAAACAAAAATAAATGGTAGAATCATCAGCAAACAATGCTGCCTTAGATGTAATAATTTCATTTATGTTAAGAGTATAGGGTCAAGAATAAAACCCTAAGGAACCCCTGAACTCACAAGATATAAAGAAGAGTTCTGACATCGAAGTCAACTTTTATACTACAATTGGAAAGGATTCAATAATCTCAAAGATGTTACTTGATACACTGTAAGAAGAAAGCTTATGGAGAAGACCAGCATGCCAAACCTTGTCCAAAGCTTAAGAAATGTTGAGTGCAATAATCTTAGATTCTCCACATCTATCTAATGCACAATAAAACCTATCAGTTATTACCGTTAACAGATCAGCAGTAGAACCAGAAGATCAAAATCCATATTGATGATCAGAAAGTTATTAGATTCAAGATGAGAGATTAAGTGTTAATTCAAGACTCAAAAACCTTGCTTATGATAGGAAGAAGCCTATTGAAACTGCAATTAGACGAGTCAGATCGCTTGCCAGAATTTTTGAAAATAGGGGTAACAGATGAAGCTTTCCAGAAAGCTGGAAAACAAGATTCTGATAAGCACTTGTTAAATAGTTTTGAAAGTATATACAAAAGCTCCAGAGAACACTCTGCAACAGACTTACCCTTTATATAGATACTGCTAAAGATTCTCCAGAAGTTACAAAAGGCTAATTTTTGAGATGAAATACAAGATTTCATGAAGTGAGAATAGCGGGCTTTGGAAATAGACAAACCTTTTTACAATAGTTTTCAGCATTAGTAAACAGTTGCCTGTTTTTTGGAGAATTGTTTTGCTAATAAATATGAAAGTAATGATTCTGATTTGAAATTACAGTGGCACAATGAGAGGAAAACCATAGAGAAGAGCGAGGCTTGAAGAGAGGGCTTGGTCAATTAGATCATAAATAACACTGAAAAATATCTTGAGATAAAGGAGAGCAATATAGAACAAAGAGAAAGGCAATAAAGTAAAGTGGTGCTAAACGAAAGCACATAAAAGAACAGTCTGTGAATTCAAACCTAGTTTCCCTACAAATGGACGAATTCTTACAAATGGCAGGCCAAGCATGTGACATTTGGAGTCTTTATGAATTAAAGAAAGATAACCATCAACACTAACCTCACAGGATGAGTCAGCTGAACTAAAATTAGTCTCACAAAAAGCAAGTAGGTTTGGTGAACTTTGCAAGAGATTGAGCAGAAGAAAAATTACTTTAAAGACCACGAATATTAGTGAATGATAAGTTTATAGAACTTGGTGATGACAATGGTTTTTTTATTTTTTTCTAGTTTTGGGTAATTTAAAGAACTTGACTCTAAGCACAGATATTACTAGGTACACTATTCAATATCCTAGCAATTGTTTCATTACTATTAATAAACCTTAAATGTTGCATTATATTACTTTAAATATTACTTTATAGAAGATTACTTTATAGTAATATATTATTTATATTAAATTATTAGTATATTATTTATATTAAATAATACTTTATAGAATAAATCTGGCATTGACGGTAGGTAATACAACTTAAATTCTAATGAGGATTAATATCAGCAAAAAATAATAAACAATGCTAAAAAAAGAAATTAAACAAAGAGCCACTCATACTTGGATCAAATATAATCCTTGTAAATAAAGAAATTACTTGAGGTGGTCTAGTTGCAGCTACAAATCCTCTCAAACAATGTTTAAAGCCAGTATCATAAACTACCTAGGATTTAATAAAGTTGAATAAAGTATATATGAATAAAGTTAAGATAAACAGAGAAATTGAAAGAAGGATCATGAGCTTATTCTAAACCACTGAAAAAAAAAATTTTTTTTGTTCAATTCACCTCCTCAAGACCGAGAAGGCCACTACAGACGAGGAAGCTACTTATTTGTGGTAATAACCCTCTCTCAACTCTATAACTCCAAAACACGAACCTTGACAACAAGGCCGCTGCGCGGAGAAACAAGTTGAGATAAGAAATGAAATAAGGCAGTATTATATCAAGGAAATAAGTTGAGAAACAAGCTGAGATTTGAAATGAAATAAGAATTATATCAAGGAAATAAGGAATAAATCTTGTTCTTCACTTTGATGGCAAACTAATTACACATTTGTAAAATGAAACCCAACAAACAGTTACAAGAGTCTTGAATTTTAACGAAAAGACAATCTTCTCTTTGTTTCAGATGACGCAGGTAAGTCATCAGACTTTAGTAATTTAAAATTTATTACAATATTTTGAAGTTTCAGAACAAGAACTTGCTTTGGGTGTTGATACTACAGCAACCAACACTGGTAGGAAAGAAGGTGCAATTATAATATTGCAGAAAGTTCTTTAGAAAACTTATTGTGGCTATTATGTCAGCACCACATATATATTTACAAATCGATAACTTGAGAAAACACCAGGGGTCCTTTAAAGGCCATTTACTCAAACTTTAAAAAGTAATGGGAAACATTTGTCCCGTTTTTATTTATTTGAGACTGTTTTTATCTATTTGTGCTTTTATCTTCTTCTAGTTTTATAAGAATTTAGGTTAGTTCTGAAATTCATGAGATGTTCTTGGAGGTGAAGACATAAATTAAATTTGTTCTTGAAACTAAGATTTTCCATTGAAAATTACAGGCATCTTGTGGGATACTTAGCTTTTTAACTTATCAAGTCTGGCAAGCTAAAAAAAAATTTAGAATTCATTAACCAGGTCATGATATAATGTAGATGCAATATATCAAATGGCTTTGGAAATCATCAATTATAAAATACTTAAATCAAGACTTAAAGCAGATTCTAGTTTTTATAGTTTGTCTAATGATTGTTATATTTTATGCTCCAGGGTTTTTAAAATCCAGTCTTGATGAACATTTAGGATTGAATGACTTCAATTTATTCAAAGTTGCTCAAACTATAAAAGAGGAATGGGATATTGATGTAGAAACTTCACTTTTAAACAGTTTTAATTCTCACTCCTGGTATCTAATGACAAAAAAAATAGTCATGGCTCTTGCTGATTCTGACTTTAAAGTTCAAATAAATTTTGACATGGTTGTTAAAAATAATATTGTTCATATATTGAAAAAAAGGTAATCATATCTCCATTATTTTTGATGGTTACAAATCATCCATTAAAGATTACAAATAAAAAAGGAAAAGGAAAAGATTTGCCAACATTGAATTCTTACTAAAAAACAAAATCAATGACAAACAATATGAATTTCTACCAAATAGCAATAATAAATTGCTTTGATCAAAGTAATGGGAAAGAGAAAAAAGTCATATTGTTGAGGAAGAAAAAGGAGATCCTAACATAATAAATGCAATGAAAGGAATTGAACTTGTACAAAACAGAAAATGTGACTCTCATCACTGAGATACAGACATTCATGAGCTTGTGCTTCACATTATGGTCCTTTTTTGCACTGAGAAGATAAGATGAGTATTTAATAAGCATGGAAACAATCAAAATAAAATATCTATAAAGATAGAAAACATATGAATACAGTGCAGCAAATTACCACATATGTTGATTTTTTGCTTTAAAAATCTATTTCTTAATTACACTTATTTTTAAATAAACAGCTTAAGTTTTTAAATAAACACCCAAAAAAATCAATTTTTCATCTTAAGCACTTTTTTATCGTGCACTAACTTACATTCTTAACATCATAAGATATAACTGCAGCACAAATACAAAGACACAATGTGGAAAACAATGCCTATGTCAAATTCATAGAATATATTGGACGGCTGTCTACAAAGTGTCAAGGGTCGGAGTGCACAAATGCAATGAAAAATGACAAAACCAATATTGTTGACAAAAAAAAAAAAGTATAAAAATAGCAAAGATAGAAAAACATTTTCGAAAGATTTTTTTGATTTTTGAGAAACTTTCTACAAAGTAAGGTGAATTATAATTTTCAAAACATTTCATTGCACAAAATGGACTTCAGATTCGTTAGAGTCGATAAGATTATGCTTTGAATGGTACAAAACTCATTTTTATCCATGTTTCCCTCAGGCCTGACTCTAATTTGACTAGACTAAAACAGCAAGCAAGGTAATGGTTAGTTTACTACCTTCGACTTAACTCCTTTTTTTAACTATATAATAAATAATATAGTTGAGGAAGGTTGCAAAAATTATAGGAAAAAAAAAAAGAGTAGCTTTTGTTTGAATACTTGATTATTTATCATTGTAATTTTTTAATTTTATTTTAAATTTACTTAAATCTTTTTAATAAAAAAGTAATTTTTACATATACTCAAAAAACAATCTTAGATTCTTTTTTGAATATATGTATTAGAATATTAAAAAAATGACATTTTTCTTATTAAATAAAAAAAGGCTGCAATTTTACCAGTCGTTGGTGAGTTTCATAGCGGTATCAGAATAACTGACATTACAAAAAATAGACACAAACACAGAATTAATATGAATACCATCTAGTAACAACACATTTTGAAGCATCTTCATCGATATCAAAGCTACTGACAACAGCAAAAATAATTCCTTGCCAACCATTACTTTCTTGGCTATCCAATTTCATTTGAAGATCATTTATGTTGTAGACATCAACTATATTCATCACTAAAAAAATAATTCAATGTAGGATTATACTTGATAAATTATTAGCATTAAACTGGGATAAACTGGGGTAAACTGGGATAAAGTATACTATTTTCAATATTAAAAAAAAAAGTTATTTAAAGAAAAAACTAAACATCTTGCGCTTTTGAAAATTTATACAATTATGTGTATTAGTTACAACATGAAACAAAACAAAAACAAATATTAAAAATTAAAAGTGACAGTATTAAATTTATATTAAAAAAAAACATGTTCACAAGTTCACTTTAACTCTTTTGTGTTTTCTGTTATTTTTTAATTTTGCATGTTGTCTTGCTGCCTATTTGACTATTTTTTTTTTTTTTTTATATAAAATTTTTTTTAGCAGGGAAAAAAATAAAAAGACACTCACAACTATTTGTAAGCATCTTTCAAATCTTTATTGTTTTGTAGTTCTATTAATTCCATTTGAAATTCATCTCTTACTGTCTCAACTTTAATGGAAAATGGATGTGAAAATAAGTCTAACTCATTCTTTACTTCTTTAAAATCACAAAATCTTGTGTCAAATTCATCAATTACTTTTAAAATAAGATTACAATATTTTTCATAGTCAACTGTGTTGGTATTTCTTTCTGACAGTGTTTTAAAATGGATAAGTGATTTTTGACTTAATTGTTGTTTGAGAAGTTTCAATTTCAAAACAAATGTTTCTACATTTTCATATAATTTACTAATAAGTTGATCTTTACCCTGCAACTTGATATTTAATTCCATTAACATCTGTGTAATGTCAACTAAAAATGCCAAATCATTCAGCCAGTCATTATTTTCAAGAAAGCTTGTGTCTTTATCTTTAATTTTTAGAAACTTTATTATTTCAGGTATTAATATCCAAAATCTTTTCAAAGTTGCAGCTCGACTAAGCCATCTAACTTGGCAGAAATAAATTACATCTTCTGCCTCACTTCCACAATCCTCAAGCAATTGTTTGAACTGTCTGTGATTAAGGCCACGACTTCTTATAAAATTAACAGTTTGGATAACAATTTCCATGACTTCTTTCATTTCTAATACTTTTGCACATAACTGTTGCTGATGTATAATACAGTGATATGAAAGAATGTTGTGATTAATGGATTTCTTAAATAATGCCACAAATCCAATATTTTTTCCTTTCATTGAACTTGCTCCATCTGTAGTGACACCAGAGAGTTTTGTTTCTGGCAAATCAAACTTTATCATTGTTTTTTTGACTTCAGAAAGAATATCTTCCCCTTTAGTAGTGCCTTTCATGTGCCTGAAATCCAACAGTTCTTCAATTATTTCAAAATTACTTGTTATAAATCTAATAAAAATAGCTAACTGAGCCGTATCACTTCTATCTGTTGATTCATCAAGTGCCAGACTATATGCTTCACACTTACATAGTTTTTCTTTCAATGCTAATTCAATATTCTTTGATAGATCTTCAACCCTTCTTGCAATTGTCTGGTGTGAAAGACTGAGATCTTCAGCAAATTGTATTTTTTCAGGGCATACCTCATTACAAAATTGTTTTATAGAGTTTTTTATTAAATCTCCAGTAGAAAAAGGTTGACCACTTTTTGCAATATTTTCTGCAATTAAAAAACTTATTTTGGTAGCACTGTATGAGCTAATTACTTTACTTTTCATTATTGATTGTTGCCCGATAAAATTTTTCTTTAGCAGTTCTACCTTATCAACACGAAATTGGCCCTTGAATTTATCATAAGTTGCTGCATGTTTTGTAGTATAGTGTCTATTAACATTATACATTTTGCACACGGCAATTTTTTCAAAACAAATGAGACACATAATTGAATTATTTTGCTCCATTACAAAATATTCATTTGTCCAAGATGGGTTAAATATACGACCTCCTCTTCCACTTTCAGTTTCAGCTCTACGTCTTTTATTAGCACTAGCAGAAGCCATATTTTAAAAAAAATCAATATAACTATGGTTCCGCTAACCAAATAGTCAATACCGTTTTAACCGGTTTTATAAAAAAAATAAGGCGGTAGTTTTAACCGTGTTGCAATTTTAAAAAAAATCTGATTTTTAAAATTATATTAAAAAACTGCCCTAATTCTGAGCTACAGTGAAAATAGTTTTAAAAATATAATATTCACTTGATTTTGTTAAAAGTTTTGAATGGTTTTTGATAAGTTAAGAATTAAAAACGCGGGCCATGGCAAAAGACAACGAGGGCCACTTTGTGGCCCGCGGGCCACGCGTTGGACAACCCTGTCTTAGTCGATGTTTTTTTTTTTTCAGGACTTAATGATAAAACTAATTTTGTCTTTTTCTAGCCCCAGTCATGTACATTTTTCTTTTATAAACTACGATTGTAAATTTTTTTTTTTGGCAAATACATAGATTATCTTAAATATATGTGGTTTTGTTAAGGAAAGATATTTTTAAAACAAAGAAACGAAAGAACCATGTTTTTATTCAGTTTATATAGCCGAGACTTCAAATTTTTTTCGTTTATATACTAAAAACTTTTTTGTAAAAAAGACTCTTTTCACAAATACTTTTTAATAATGTGTATTATTTTTTTTATTTCTAATAACAGTACTAACAATGAGTAATTATACATTGAATGTGAAAACTAGACATAGGTAAGCAACTAAATTGTCTAATTGTTGAAAAAGGTAAAGAGTTTGTTTTGTCGAAGGTACCCACAAAATGATCAGTAATTCAGACGGGTATTCTTCTAAAGGTTAGCTTTTATTTTATTTTTTAACTTCTAAAATATTTTTAAAAGTTATTATATCAAAAATATATATTGACTTTATATAAGTTATTTGTGATAAATAACTAAATCTATATTTACCTTTTAGGAAAAAAAAAAGAAATAGAATTTGAATGTAGGAAACAAATTTTGCTACAAAAAAACTAAGCAGGGAACTTGCTAAACTGGTAACAGCTCAATGGTTTAAAGCAAATAGTCTGTTTAGACCACCAGTTACAATTTTGGAAAAATCACTTGCGAAAAAAATAGGGAGACTATGGTTTAAAATATCAAAGATTTTAAAAAACGCAAAACTATCTAAAGAAGCAACCAACAAAATAACTATTGACCTTGATAGTCTCTTTTATATCATATCATGTACTCATACAATCATTATATGCACAGAGGCAGCATCATTTTGTAATGATCCCGAAAACTGCAAATTAGGAGCACATGTTTATTGTTCATGCCCTCTATTACAAAAAGTTCCTGTACTTGATCTTCTTTGGCTTCGTAATCAGAGGCTTTAAAAAAAAGAGATTTCTACTATGCAAATTGGTTTATGTGATTAAAAAGAATCGGTTCGCCTACAGAGAAGAGAAAAAAGGAAAAACATTCAGGAAGAAGCTGAAAGAAAAAGGGAAAAAAAAGAAAATGAAAGAAAATATGAGTTTGATAAATTTCAGGTTAGCTAAATTTCCATAAACACAATTCTTTAATTGTTTTAAAACATTTCTTACCGCAATCTATAATCATTGGTATAATAAAAGATTTTATAACTGCAGGTTATCTTTCTCCTAATATGTCATACCTTTCTGTTGACCCTAATAAAACGCAAAGGGCTAAGAATAATGTAATGAAAGAAAATACAATTATTGAAGCTAATAAATGTAGTAACGAAAATATAATTGGAATTTGCTTATGATGGAAGAAAAGACTGGACCAAAACGTTAATTCCAGATAAATACGGAAAACTTCATCCTAGTCATAAAAGAGGAGCATATAAGTGTAACTTGGGAGCCAACTGGACGTTATCTTGCTCACATCACACCAGAACTTGCCCTTCATCCGGAGAAACCTGCAAAAAAGATAGTTGAAACACTCTATGAGGTGCTTGAAAAAAACAATGCTACTGAGTCATGCATAGTAATAGGTGGAGATTCAACTAATATCAAAACAGGATGGTCAGGAAGAATTCATGCCCATCTTGAAAAAATGTTAGGACATAAATGCTATTGGGCGATTTGTATGAAACATACAAATAAACTCAAGCTACAACATTTAATTATATCTCTTGATGATCCGACAAGTAGCAAGGACGGATTTACAGGATCAGTATGCAAAAATCTTAAGTATGTAAATGATATGACAATAAATTATAATTTTACACCCCTGCCAGATGGAGAGGAGCTTCCAAAACTTGATGAGAAAGACATAAAAAGCCTATATATAAATGCTATCAAAGCAGATATATAAATGCTATCAAATCAGGAAAACTTTCTCCGGATCTCGCAAATCTAAAATGTGGATCACTGTCTCTTTCTCGCTGGCTTACAACAGGTATGGCTTTGACGTTTTTGTGGACAAGAAGTCATAATCTTAAATACAGTGAGCTGGAGATCTTGAAGATATTAGTTCAGTTTTGTGTTAAAATGTATTTTAAACTTTATTTTAAAATTTCTTCCAAACATCTGCTGGAGGACAGACCAAGACACATCATGCTTGAACTTAAAATTCTTAAGACACTCCCAGTCAATGTGGCGAATATTATTACACCTTATATACGAACTGGGGCTTGGTACAGCCATAGTGAGTGTATTCTGGTTTCACTCTTGACTAGCTGTAATAAAAATGAAAGAAAGTTTGGTATTAATAAGGTTTTACAAATTAGAGAAAATGAGCTTGGAGACACTGCTGTTCAAAAAAGAATATCTCCGAAAATTAACCTTGACGCTACTATTCTTCAAAAATTAATTTTTTGTAATGTAAAAGATTGTTATGAAACAATATTTACATGTAATCTTTATAAAGTAGAGATCTCCGAATTCATTTAAAATCTATTGAAAATTTCTAAATTCAGCATTCACACTCAAGCAACAGAACGCTACGTCAAAAGCGTGACGGAAGCATCTGCTATTGTTTATGGCCAAGAAAAAAGAGATGGATTTGTTTGAACAAGAATAATACACAGGGAAGAAATTCCCACCTTTAAATCAAAGAAAAATGTTCTTGAAATAATATAACTAAGAAATAAAACAAA